TGTGTTGGTCTCTCATAATTCACAAGTGGACATCTTCTGTTTCTGTGCAAGAATTAGTAGTTGGTGTTAGTAAGCCTTTCTTATTTAGAGAAAATCAGAATTTGATGAGAAGGGGGGAGGGGAGGGAACCAAACTAAAATCAACAAATGTGTCCCCACGGTGTTAGGACAATGTATTTCAAACTCCAGTATTACTATTCCTAAAAATACAGCATTGCTGTGATCGGAAGGCACTTCTGGAGATCCAACTCCCCTGCTCAAAACAGGGTCAAATCACAGCAGACTGCCCAGCACTGTGTCCAGTTGGGTTTTAAATATCTCCAAGGATGGAGACTCTTGGGTCAATCTATTCCAGTGTTCAACCACCACCACAGCAAAACCCCCACCACTTCCGTTAAATGCTTAAGCAAACTGTCCTGTGTTTCAATTTGTGCCTATTGCCTCTTGTCCTGTCCCTGGGCACTGCAGAGAAGAGTCTGGCTTTCTCTTCTTACCCCCCACATTAGGTACTTAATGCACGCTGGTAAGCTCCTCCCGAGCCTCCTCTTCTTCAGGCTGAATAGTTCCAGCTCTCTCAGCTTCTCCTCACATATGTCAGATGCACCAGACCCTTAGTCACCATTATGGCCCTTCCCTGGATTTGCTCTGGTATGTCAGTGCTCCTCCTGTACTGGGGAGCCCAGAACTGGACACAGCAATCCAACTGTGTCTCACCAGTGCTGAGTAGAGGGGAAGGATCAGCTGTCTTGACCTGCTGGTGAAGCTCTGTCTAATGCAACTGAGGATACCCAGCTATGGAGTCTGCATCCCTGGCTCTGAATTGCTTCTACAATGGCTGAAAAGACCCAGCATAAATTTGAAGGAGCGTTTAGCTAAGGCTTGATGGTCACGTGACCGAAGTATGACATCAGAAAGGTATATTAAATCCCAGGGATGAACAAGGTGGAAGAGGGAACCATGAGTTTTCATTTAGATAATGGGATGGTTATTAATTTGGTATGCATCTTGGCATTGGCTTGACAAGAAATTCCATGTAGGATTCCAAGGGTATCTCCACACAGAAGTTTGGGTTAAAAAACCAGTACACTCACAAAGAACTATCTGCATTTCCCCAGTTCATTCAAAAATGCTCATGTAGCTTCAATCATTCTTTTTGTCTTTTAATTTCAGCTTGAGTAATGCAGCAAAACATCTCCAACTGTGAGGACATGTTATTTACTGAAACTTTGTTACCCTTTGTGATTCTGACAACTAATCACAACCAACTGCTTTTATTTTGCAGTTTTCAGTGCTATAATAGAAGGTTAAAATTTAATGCACTGACAAAGTCAAATCTCAATTATCTGAGATAAGGGAGTGGAAAGAGCATATGAAAGTAAAAATGCAGATAAAGCACCTTCAGATAAGCAGTATGAACAGTGAGGATGTAAGAGAAAGAAGGAAGAAAAGTCAGTGAGCTGATCCCAGAAGAGGCACCGATGCAAACTCATCGTCCCAGGATTCCAGGCTTTAATGCTGTGAGTCCTCAAACAAGCTCCGGATGTAGAGCACAGACATGCACCTTCTGGCTGTGACTGGTTCAGCCCTGCAGTCTAACTAGGCTGGATCTGTTCTTGTCCACTTGACTCACTTCCTGATATGGTCCATAGCTTCCCAAATCCTGATCATCCATGTACCAGGCTATGTGTGCATATCAAACCATACTCAGACTAGTTGTCTCCCCCTATTTCTGGACAAAGCCAAGTGAAACCTGGAGTAGTTGATGGTATCCTGTACTTTAAGAGCTGATCCATGGAGAGAATACAGGCACACAAATATTCCACAAAGGCCTCTCAAATGCTGGTGTAATAAACCTACTGCTTTCAAACACTCCTCAAATCCCTCACAGCATTCCCCAGGATGTAATACACACCTGTGGCTTCATGCTTCAGTTTTACAGATGGTATCATTGTCCTCCTCTTTTTTAGGCATTTTGAACTCAAAGGTACGTGACTGGGATGACAATTACATCTTAGGACCACAAAAGCCCCACAGGGGTCCAGAGAATTGCTGGGCCAGGTGCTGTGCAGCACAGATGCCAGCAGCCTGCTCCAAGTGCTAGCCCTGAGTAGCTCTAACAAGTGCCAACCCACAGCCCCCAGCCTGTGTGCAACGGGGACGTGGTACAGACCCACACAATGGACATTTACACGAAGATCACGTCCAAGGCAGTTACTGGCACAAGTAGCATTTGGTTTTCTGCAGCTGGCACTTTTGTCCCAAATCAGTATTGGGGACACACCCCTACTAATCCTGCCGTGACAAATCAGCCATTACTGGGCACACAGGTGCCACCAGAGAGGAATGTGAATGTGAAATCAAGAGCAGGACTCTCTGCAGGTGTCAAGTCCACAGGAGTGGATTTTTTTCCCCATTAATTTCAAGAGTTTTGATTCCGATTCTCAGTCCTTAAAATATTCCACAGGCATCAGGAATAACCTTTAAGCTTCAACCATATTCAGGTTGATGGAGTAATGAGTTCCCTATCTTTTCCACGTGGATACAGCAGTCTTCTCTTCCAGAGCTAAATCACTGTGAAGCACAGTTCAGTACCATTAAAGCACCGCTCAGTTCAGTCCAGAGTTATCGGCACTGCAGCAGATTGATGGTTCTCCTATAAATATTAAGCAATTTGGACTGGAAGCTGCCAGAGAATAGCCAGATCTCATTTTATTTTGCATCTAAGATATATATCTGTGGCCTTTGCCTAAAGGTTTGTCACTCTAGCTGAAAGCCTGACAAAGGTCAAAATATTCAACTTTCTACTTTAAATTCTAATGACAGATGAGAGATACATTTCTTAGCATAAATATTTATATATAAACATATTTTATATATGCATGTATACACACACTCCCAATCTTAAAATATCTCAGCATATGTGTAAGTGTAACAAATACTGCCACAGAGTCACAAGTGAATGGAGTAGCATACTGTGAGTCTGCCCTGACCTAAGATCTGAATAGAAAAAGAAAATTATTTGAGATAATGGGGCCTTGCAATTTTAGCAGTGTTCCTTCAGCACTAAAAGAAGCAAGTTAAGACTAATTGACAATATAAGCTCCAAGAGGTCTCAAGATTGAGAAAACAGTAAACAAAAGCTAATCTATCAAATTTAGCAGGAGGCACATTATCACTGCAGAAAAGCTGAAAAAACAGAACAATTTGTACCATTCTATTGCATTAATGCTTATTTCACAGAAACCAGATATTTAAAATATTCATCTGCTACGTTCCCCTGCACCCAAGAAAGGGCAGGCTTGTTGCCCTCCCTGCGTGCGTCTGCTTTCTGCTTTGCTCACAGACACTTCCACATTTAGAGAGAACAAATCTGACAAATCAGAAACTGTGCATGACCCACATACTGACACCACAACAGCAACCCTGACAGTCCTAGGAGTCAGGGGAAGGCCAGAAGTGGTACCAGTTAACACCTTTCTGTCCTGTATAGAGGTGGTCTCATGCAGCACTGTGTCAAAACCAGTGCAAAAACGTGTCTGAAGGGTCGCCTCAAAGGACCCAACAGTTTTACATCATGCAAGCCTGTTCATATAGCCAGGGCCAGGCTGATCTTTACTCACCCCTTCTGAAGTAAGGGTAGAAGTCAAACTGCAAACAATTAGTCCATCAGACAAGCTGTCTCATGCTTTCAAGCCTGGGAGCTGTATACTCATTGCACATAGTGTCTCTCCTTTAAACATGGTCTTAAAAAAAGACCAAGATTTTAAATGCCTTAAAAAGATGCTGCTAAAAACCAAAAGGGAAATAAATCTCTCTTCCACAGAAAGTCACTGATCGGGTAAAGAGAACTCAAGAAACAGTGAACTCCTAAATCTTACCATTTTGTATGCAATCATTTGATTTTAAAATTACAACTTGCTCCTCTTAACCAGCTGAGACCCAGGAATCAGAAATTCCTGGCACATGGGCAATTTTTAGTCAATAGGTGGTGGGAACTGGAGTTGAGAAGGGATTACATCCCCTTCCTTTTTCTTTTACAACCTTCCAGAAATCTCCCTTCTGAATTGCACCCCTCCTTTCTCCCACATCCCTTCATGGGAGCCCCAGAGCATTTATGTTTAATTCTCTAACAGAAAAGCAAAATAAGGGGTTGCCTGATTAAACATTGAGGACCTTTTTCTCTCTTTATGGAAAATACCTTCAGTTTAATGGGAACAAGTTAGTAACTGTTTATCTGAAGGTTATCCATTAATTGCTGGCCATGTCATAGGGAAGAAACTTTTTAGCATCTAGGGGGTTGAGCCATGGTGCTATAAAGGCAAGTTAATTCTATATAATATTAAATGCCTGGAATATCTTTTCCATTTGATAAACCCCTCAAAAACTAAGAACTTGTGCATAGTCTGCTTGTCTCTGGGATGGCACAGGAAAGCAGAAGAGGTCCCTCCATTTCACCTTATTTATAAAGAGCCTGATTCAAAACTTCTCTAGAAATATTCTCACGAGTTTCAAAAAGAAAGTGTGTGTGTGATGCATGCAAACCAATCTGGGAGAAGGGAGCTATCCCAGTGGAGACTTAAATGTAGATTTATTACAGACAAAATTTATTCCATCAAAATTTGTTCTCCTACACCACTGTATCGATTTCATTACTGAAGTGCTGCAATAATGAGTCAGGCTCTCCATGTCTATTGTGCTACTATAAAGGAACACATTTTGTTATACGGACCATAAAATGCAGCAGAGAAAAATAAATCTGTTTTGTTGTTGTACTGCAGGCTGCTTTGGTGTCTGCATTAATGCAATAACTCAATAACTCTTTAAATAACCACTATAAACTGTTTTGTTTCCATTTATAAAGATACAATGATGTTCCCATGCACTTCTATTCAGAATCAGATCTTTACCCTTAAAAGTCTGCGGACAGTGAGGGAATTAATTCAGGATTTCATAAACTGCAGGGCTTATAAAACCCATCCATGCAGAGAGGTTTTTACTCACATGGTGCATAGAACATGACAAGAGTGTGCTTCTTCTTCTTCAAGGACTCTCTGAAGTCTTCACCAGCAAGGTGGACAACACTAGTCTGTTTTTCTTCCCATGCAGGCTCAGGTGGAGGTGGTGCTTCAGGACTAGAAAAGAAAGACAATCAGATTGGTTTGAAAATGTTTCTGGAAGCAGGAAAAGGAGCAGCATCGTCCTGGTCATAACTACCATGAGGCAACCGAGGCACAAAAATCCCTCAGGGTGTATGCTCAGTATTTTCAACACCAGATAAGAGCAAAAAAGACATAAGTTAATTTCTGGAACTCAATAAAAATATAATTTAAGTGACTGTACTCAGGCATATGAGTAGAAATGAAGAATAAAGATTTCCTACGTTGCATCCAACATCTGGGTGGAAAAAACATTGCTCCTGTATCACTGTGTCATCCATAGGCATAAATTGAGAAGAACAGCAAGCAGGTGGAATCAAAAGACAACCGATATAGAACAGCATCTTCCATTCAAACATCCTTTTTGTACTCTTTATCGCTACCATGCAAACTTCTACAAAGAATTTCATGACCTTCTCTTGAATACATATGATATTAAAGCCAGGGTGCAATAATCAGCATCATTCCACTTGGAAGACTGGGGGTGACTGAACTGGAATATTTTACCTTGATAAAGAGAATGTCAGGTTTCAATTATGACTGCACATACTGGCTAGATCAGAGCAATCCTGCACACCTAGAGCGCCTCTAACAAAACTTCTGCTATTCACCAGCTCACAGACTTCTCTGAGACTCATTAAATTCACTCCTGCTGTATCTTAAATAGTGATCACTTACATAAAATCATCAGAATGGTGCCACGGTATAAAGACCTTCATATGTCGCCTTGGTAATAAATTAGCTTTTCAGACTTTCCTGTCACTTTGAATGACACCATTTTAAGTTATATCAGATACATAAAAACCAAGTCGAAAAAACCTCAATTTTTAAAGTCCTACTCAAGGTCATTTGGTGGGCATCCATCCTATTTCCATCGATACTGATTTTCCAGTTGTTAAAGAATTAGGACAGGTGGTCTGAATTTTCACACGAACAGTCGGTATGAGCTACCACTGATTACAGTTACAGAAGGGTGACTTATTATCACACAAACTTTTCCATGCTGACCTGAAATAAGATACCCAGCTTATAAGTGTGGCAGCACAGTCACCAGAGAGGAACCAGAGCCAAAACCTCTGTGGCTGCAACTGGACCACCCTTTGGGACAGGGGAACAAGCTGTACTTTTATCTCCAGCCTACACCCCAGATACGTCCCTATCTCCACCAGCTTCAGTGCAGCTGTGACAATTCTATCCCTCGTCAGAAAACAAGGATGTTATTCTACTGCATCTCTAGTTGGGAGAACATCCAGGAGCAACGAGTAGGAGATAAGTTGTCTGGGCTTCACCTGTATTGCTGACTACCTGAGGCTGCAAGCAAAAGTATTCCAGAGGAACAGCAGGATCCAGAAGCGATCAACAACCCTTCCCTCTTCCTTGTTGCTTATTCACCTGCCAGTATGTGCAGGCAGCATCAACCTGACTGTTTAACTCAATACAAATGACACAGAGCTCAAAACACTCGAGCAAACTGGTGAAACAAGGACAGTGACAACATCTAAAATGGATACAGCAGCCTGGAGCCTGCGTGTGCAGGGAGGCCAAGGGAGTACTGTGTCTAAATGTAAAATACAGATAAAGCTTCTCAACATGCTACAAAGATGCTGCCAGACTATATCTATTACGTGATTTGAAGCAGTCAGAGATGTAACATAAAAAGAAAAGAATAAAAAGCCAAACCAAAAAACTTCACACAATCCACTCCCCACCAAATAAGAGGGGAAAAATTAATATCACATTCCTCATGCCAACTGTATTAACAGTTAAATGATTAAAAAACTTCACAAAACTCTGGCAGGTTTTTTTCCCCTTGAATAATGCAGAAAATACATTAGGCTTACAGTACCTGAAGAAAATGCATATTCTATATATACATATATATATATGCATACTTTTACATATATACATATATAATTCATACTTTAAGTGAGAATTGTACCTACAATTTATTTTGAAATGAAACTATTGTCATCATTTTCATATCAAACTTAATTCTGCACACTTCAGCACACCACTCAAGAAAAGCTGGTTAGTGCAGTCAAAGGTCTGGTTTTGTTGGTCTCACTGGCTTTCCTTCAGCCCTACATAGATGGAATTCTAGGCATTGGCCCTGAAATGCTGGAAAGATAAAAGTACAACTGTAGAAATTCAGTTACTAACAGTGAAATCTGCTGCTTTTTATAAAGAGGGAACAACAAATGTTCTATTTATTTTTCAGAGCCATTGCTATTCCCCCTCTGGTGAGAGGCTTAAGGTATATTTGAAAAATATTTTGGGAAAGAAATACTGGGACAACTATGAAAAAACCCACAGCAAATAAAGGATGTGTTTTATTGGAGACCATAATTAACATACATGTTTTTATGTGTCTGAATACTGGGAGTTCAGTCTAGTTTTGTTAGCAAGGAATTTAGGCAGTGGATAAAGTTAGGCTTAGCTCCTCACCAAAGCAGTCTGCAGGAGTCACTAACCAGGAACCCGAATACCATGTCAAAACCCTCAAAACTTACTTTTGCAGCCAGTCAATGATCTTCTTCTTTGTTCTGAGGTGTGGCAGAGTATATTTCTCCTCTCCATCCTTAAAATACTTCAAAGTAGGAAACCCTGAGATGTGGAATCTTTCTGCCAGCGCCTTGTTGACTGTAGCATCAACTGCTGCAAGGACACCTGGGCTCTAAAATAGAGATCACTCACTGTAAATCCCAGCCACATACACACTCCCTCTGGCAGGACACAGTGGGCTTGGGGGCAACCACTCATTATTTAGGTGCCTTCACTGTCTCAGGGACTCAGCACAGACTGACAGAAGGACACAGAGGACTGATGTAAAACCAGAAAGGGACATCTTATGGACTACTACCATTTCTGACAGAATTCTCTGTATATAATTCACTTTATAATGCTTAAGGGCTGTTCCCAGGAATGGCATTTCCTCCCACAATTCCAAATTTCGCCGAGAAGAAACAAGCACTGTTAAAGACAAGTTTTCTTCAAGGCAAATCCATGTTTTTCTAACTTGTGGCCATCTTTGCAAGGACCACCTTTAGAGTCAAAGGAGAGCAGGCACTTGTATAGTGTGATTCATCGGATCTTCGCTTTTCTCATCTCCTCCTTCTCTGACAACTACAAAGGGACTCTGGATGTCTCTACTGAAGATGCTTAAATGTGGGAGACTAATTGTATTTCTCCTCTTGCATGGCATACACAGCATGAGACTGAATCAATAACACTAATACTTGTACTATTGGATCTCTCTTCTCCAGCCAAGCTGATGGAACACTTAAAATGAAACTAATGGAGTGATGCAACCATAAAAACAGGGTATTTGAAAGAGGGATCAACCCCTTTTGTTTTTTTCCAAATCTAATTCATAAATAAAAGCCTATGTTTCTTCACATTCAATGCCTTTAAGTAAGGGGGAAAAAATCCATTTTTGGATTTGATCATATTATGTGTAAGGCCTACAGCACAATACATAAACATTTTTCGATTTTGTTTTCGTTCAAGACAGAATGTTCTTTCTCAGACTTTGGCAGGGTTCATGCATTAGCGATGAGACTGTACTTTGGAAGCACATTTTGAAAGGTCCTGTGGGAGGATGAGAACAGCTGAATTTGTTGTAGGGAGAAAAGTCACTTTTATTACTCCAGTTATTTATTACTGATTATTTGAAGGATATAATAAAGGAAATTAGCTTACGTCACTGGCTACATGAAGAAACTCTGCAGCCTTCTCATACTCTGGTTTCATTTTCTTACAGTGTCCACACCCTGCCAAAAAAAAAAAATCCAATTAAGTTGTATATGCCATAGTTATTCATTGACTCATCTAGCCATTATCAAAATCCAAAACCATGCGGTAGAGATTTACTAGAATTCTGTATGCATTTTACTTACTTTATTTGTAAAGCCTTAGTATGACTTAGGATCTTTTCCAAAATGGCCACAATAGTTTAAACAAAGAATTTAATCAATTAAAAATAACAATAAATGCCCTAATTTCACACCCACACCTCTCTCCTTACAGAAATTTGTCAAGCCCATTGCTTCTAGCATGCTCTTGGGCAAGGCACAACCTCACCCATTTCAGTTTCCAAATCTTTATCTGCTTTAAAAAGAAACAACACAGCTCCTCACGTGACTTTGTGACTTTCAGCAGAGGCTTACACTAGCACAGCTTAACAGAGCAGTGTAATTTGAATTTAACTGCACTGATAATAAGCCCCATTTTACAGTGGTGCAGCATGTCCCTTTAGCAAGGACTTGCACTGATTTAATCACATCAGTGTAATTACACCACCACATATGTTCCCAACATAAGCAGGGCCTGTAAAACCGAGATAATGGTGCTTTCTTGCTTGTGAGAAGTTCTCCAGAGATCTGCCATTACTTCACTGCTAAGTGCTGACATCACAATAAAGTAAAATGAATGCATGGGTAAGAAAAGCAGACTTAAAATAAATTATTTGGATGTAAATTAAACTGCTTTCAGCCGCTGCAGTTGCTTCCAGGCAAGTTGAACTTTCAGGACCAGGTGGAGTTCCTGCCGAGCTGGGAGGCTGCGCTCCAGCCCCTCCAGCGTGATGCTGGGCCTTGGTGGCAGCCCCTTCATCATCCCCAGGGGCCAAGGGACCAGCACCACCACAGCCCCTGCAGGGACACTGCACACGGACTGAGTGGGCAAGACAGACACCCGGGCAGGGCGAGGGCCGGCTCCTCCAGCAGACAGAGATGCAGTGAGCTGTAACAAGGCGCCTGGCATGGCCCTGACACCGCACTCGCCTGCCCAGTGCACTGTAATCCCAATGCAATGCCTCGCTGCACTTCTCCCTCTTGTTTGCAGTAGCAGCCAGCTTGCTTTCCTTAGCTATTATTGTTGGAACGAGCACTTGAAAGCCCAGACTTTGCTGAGCTTTTGAAAGTTGTATCAGAAGATATGGTGAGAAATGCGTTTCAATGCGGCTCCAGCAAAAGCCATCTCTGAGGTGTACAGGGAACACGGCTGGGGCTATTTTTACACCACTGTCTACAAGAAAATAAACCAATCTCAGCACTGCTTTGTTTCCCTCTAATGGGATGACTGCTGAAGCCAGCAGACACAAACCTAAGCCTGAACTCAACCAGACAAGCATGTTTCATGTAGCACAAGTTAAAGAGCCGCAAAGTGATAGGACATCCAGGTGTAACTTCACCAGAGCAAACAGGGACCTCGGCAGAGCACCAAACACCACACCATGAAACACTTTCAGGGTGTGTTTATAGAACAGGGTGTACATTTTAATAAAAACTGCAAATCCCACCTGAGAATTACAGCAAATACCCAAGCAGTTGATCGCAGACCAAACTCCAGTTCAAACACCACCTACAGTCCATACTGCTTGGTCATCTGCACAGTGTCCACAGCATTAACGAGCCCCACATCATTCTTTTATGCAAAAAACAATACTATGGTAGGAGCAGCAGAGCAAGGGGATCTCAGCTGGAGGAGAAAGCTTTGCTTTAGTTTTACACAGTGGTGTGATCATGTGCCACCACAACGGGAACCTGATGCAACAGCTTCAGAGGTGAATTCAGGAAGAAACTGGAAAAGGCTGAGGAAAAGTTACTGTCTCAGCACTGCTTGTCTTGGTTAAGAGCACAAAAGAGGCTGGCAAAATGATTTATTTGCCACCCACAGAAAACTTGCAGGCATATGGCTTTGTGGAAGGGGCTGACAGATCTCTTTGACACCTGCCCAAGTTGATTTATTTCTCTTTTTAGGAACAGGGAACTTTATTTATTTTGTGCTCTTCCTCACTTCTAAACAAAGGGCATCTCGAGTGCCAGCTCAGATACCGGGGAACCTCTCTGAATTTAGCTTGCTCAAATTTGTACAAACAACACTTTTCTGCAGGGCTAACTTCACCTTGGTGGGCTTTACACAGTGTATCCTTCAGCCACAGCAAGGTTCGTACTGTGCTCTAGCTACGGTATCCACACAATATTCCACAACCATTAATTAGATCTGATCAACAAAAGGCATTAAACAACCAGAGTTTTTCACAAAGCTCTGCAGAGAAGAAAAAACCCAAAACAACAACCCAGGTGTACTTTGCCTAGGAAATAAAAAAAAAATATCCAAAGTATCTGAAATTCATGTAAGTAATATTTTGGATAAAGAGACCAAGACCATGAAATGTCACTGTTCTGTGTTCTTTCGTGAACATCACAGAGACACAGCACTACTGACTGCCACAAAGCTAACTCACTCATGCTTAAAATAAAGGGGAAGCAGCATCAGGTCTTTAAAAGGCACTTAAATGAAAACTGAAGTCTTCAAATCTTTATTGTGTAATGCTTGTTCTACCCCTGACAGAGGACAGCACGATATATCAGCCTGGAAAAACAGGCACCACATTAAACTGAACCTGAAAGAGGGACAAGAAATCTTAAGAGCTTCTCTCATAATAAACAATGCTTCCCTGGCCATCTTTATGAGAATTTTGTTATTGTGTGCTACAGCCTGCTTCCATCTACCATTGTAGAAAGGGAGAGAGACAAATCAGAAGTCAAACCTTCAAACTGGAAATCAATTAATCTCTTTTATGATTATTTATCCTATCTTTGAATAATCCTGTGAGGATTGCCATTAAATTTTCAAGGCCGATGAAAAAGTTATTTAAATGAATTCCAAGGTCACTGCCTCAACTTTGATTACTACATTAGGTTGTTCAGCAGCAGCTGCATCCCTCTTTGCTAAGCTCTTCTAGTTTTAGATGTTTTCTGTTCATAAAATGAATGGGAAAATAACAACAACCCTCCAGGTCCTTAGCCCAGATGCTCCTGTGTACTGTTGAGACAGGGAAGGAAGCCCACAGGTCTGCAGTTTAGGTTTTAGGTTTTAGTTCGGTTAGCGGTATTATTCCTAGAACATGACATGTTATGTCCTTGTGTGGGAATGTGCCTAGGTCTGTTGATGACAAGTTTTGGGTTGTATGGGAGATAGTATGAAATATTTGGATGGATTTGCAATAATATTATGTCAGATTTTCCTACATGCACCTGTGATAGATGTGCTTTTAGCAGATGCACAGTTGTGTTAAGTGTATACTGACATTAAAACTAAAAGACTGAGCAAGGGAAGCAACTTGTTCAACCCCAGGTGAGAAGAGAAAGGTTGCAGTCAACAGTCAACCCAGGGATGCCCCGAGCCTACTCCAAGCACTGACATCCTCTGAGCTTCTGGGGGTCATGGCTAGTGAGAACACCCAAGGGACTTGTAGGTGTTTATCCAAGGGGACTCTCACAGCCTCGGTCTTTTGTCTCAGAAGACAAGTAGCTGCCCTGGAGGTGCAAGTCAGACTTACTCTCCATACAGCAGCCCAAAACCAGTCAGGATTTAGTGCCTGGCTCTACTGAACAGTTCCTGACAACTCCTCTGACCTCTCCACATATCATCCTACTCCTCTTGCACAAAAGGACCTCAGGCTGCAAGGCCCAAGGCTCCAACAGAAAAGAGCCCATGGATTAAGCATAAAGAAGAAGTGTTACAAGACAGGAAAAAGAAGTCAAAGCTTACAACAATTAGTGCTAGGGCATCTGGTATGCACCCTGGGTAACCATTTCTAAAACAGATGTCTAAATGAAGAGAGAATTCTGCTATCCTAGTTTATTTATAATCAATCTTCTCATTTGCACTGTGCAGACGGGCAGATAAGCAGCTTCTTCCTTCAGTGTAGTCACTGTCACACAGCCTAGCTCAGTTGCATCCTCAGACAAGGGCAATCAAAGGTCCCCACATCACCCTGGGGACAGATGTGGCACACAAGTCCCTTCCCTCCTGAATCCCACCATAGGCCACAGGACAGCACTCACTCAGCACTTTGTCCTTTACCCAGTGTGACCACATGCAAGTGCAGAGGCAAAAGCCACGTGTGGAGAGAGTAATGCTAAAGTGAAAGGGTGAGGAGCAAATGGACATAGGAGAGGCTAACAAATGCATCAAGCAACTCTTCTTCTGTGGAAATATCTATATTTGTTTACAGCAGCCTGTTTGGCACCTTGGCAAAGACTCACAACACACAGTTGCTCTAAACGTTTTCAGAAGTGAACTAATGCAAGTATTTCTACTGCTAAAACCAAGTTTTGCCTGCAGAAGACAACCAGAAAACCAGTCAAGTAGCTCTAGCTAAGCTCCTGAATATTCTGTCAGAGTGCTGTCCCAAGGATATAAATCTCTGTTTCTCTGTCATTTTAGGACTATATAAACAAACACCACGCTTTTGGTCATGTCCTCTCATTTCAAGACAACGTTGTCTGAGGATCTGAAGTGTGCGTGACAAGCAAGAGATAAAAGATAACATCCAGGCAGTTGTGAAGAAGCAATTTCTGACATGAAGAACCCTAGAGGTAAAATAAATTGCAAATAAAGATTTTGAAGAACCATTACATTCCTGTCATCAACAGACTTCCTGAATACTGTTATCATGTACCAGCTATTTATTGTATCATGCCAGCTCTACATCCATCTATAGCTGCATACCAAAAATACCTCTATTAGCCTGATGAGAAAACAAATTTGAAGCACAAAGCATGTCCTGCTTTCAGCAAATAGGCCACTGGCAGTTCAGACTACACTCACAGAAGATTTACAGACAACTTCAAGAAAGAAAAAAAAATCTCAAAAAGTTCAGATACGCCTTTGCTCTCTAAACATTTAATACCTGGGGATAACATCTTTGGTATCTCCATTCCTAATCCCAGAGGAGCAGTGATCTCGCAACACAGCAGAG